GTCCAGATAGATGACATTGATTCCCATCCTCTATCCACATCCATCCTCCATCCATAGCGCCCTGTAATCTCATTTTTGTCACCGTCTGATCCTGTGGCTTTGGTTAGTCCACTTAACCTTTCTTTCTGTAATTTCTCCCAGCATAAAATGATAAAATACAGGTAGCTTTCAATTAATAGATATTAATTATTAAGACGTAAAAGCATTGTATGTGTGAAAAGAGCTGGGCTGGGATTTTCGTGTGAGGTGCTCAAGTACAAATGAACTTCATTTGTGTTTGCGCATTCTAGGCTTTTCTTTGAAAATCTCAACGTGAAGCTCAACTGGGACTTGGCATCACAGGCTAAATAAACACGCTCTCTGGGGTTCAGTGTATTTAGGAGCAGAAACTGAGTTTTAAAAAGGTTTGGCCTTCATAGTGTATCTTACTTTTGGGACTGTAACTTCATTTGAAGGAGATTGGAGTTAGAGCTGATGTGCTGGCGGAGTTAAAAAGTAGGAGGAGGTGACTGAGTTGGGCTGGATTATTTTATGTGAATCACTTCTTCCATACTTTTGTTATGCTAGTTCTTTTCCCTCTTGTTTTCATTCATAGCCGTCGATGTGCATACACATGTGAAACAGCGTTTGCATGATTTGGGGGAAAAAAATCTTTAATTGCCAATAATAATAGTTCCAAAGCCTTATGTTTTTCTTCTTCTCCTCTGTTTCCTCCTTCCCCTTTTCATAGAGCTGGTGTGTTCCGATGGCTAGAAAACGTGCTGCTGTCTTCATCTTTTTTAATCTCTCTAATTTTTTTCTCTCTCATATTTCTTCAATTTTTCTCATTTTCTGCTAAGCTATGCTCTACTTTTTTTCTAAGATGTCTTTTCTGGATATTTTCTATGCTTTTTTCACACTGTCTTCCGAACTTAGATTTGTTTAAAAACAATCAAGAAACCGTCACAGAGTTGATTTCTGATTGTCATTTTTTTGTCTTGTATAGAGTCTGATCAGCAAGCTCTTCAGCTCAGAGGCCTCTAGCTGTCCCGAGGGAGAATTAAGCTGGTTTTGCAAAAGCTGGAGTACTACAGTGTTGTATGTTGTCAGATGCTGCTGCTAGCTGGCAGAGGAGAATGTGTTATGACTGGAACATCTGCCTAATAAAATAAGAGCAGGGTAGACTAAGGGATTAATTTTTATATTGATTACAGTTTTAAAACTGTTTTGTCCATCAGGAGTAATTCTGATTGCATCATTCACAGTAATGTTCCACTGATGTGGAACTCCTTGCTGTCTGCAAATCTAAAATGGCTAGGAATGTTATTTCCCCAAATCTGCGTAGCTTGAATGTTATTCCAGGAGTAATATGGAAACCAGCAGTTCTCTCCATTCTGTGTTTACTTACTGTGTACCGAATGATGGGCTACCTCTGTAATAAACAGTGTTTTAAAATAATCTTACGAAAGGCTTGTGTTTCAGTCGGGTAGGCTCTGTTCTGCCCACATTATCTGAAGCCGTGATAATAAACAAGGAGGCTCGGAGTTAAGATTGGAAGTTAGCTAAGAGCCTGAATGGTTTGTTGGTCAAACAGTAGTGGTATTTTAACTTTTTGAACGTGTGATCTGAAGTGCAGAAAGAAGTGGGAAAAACTATAAAATGACATTTCAAAAAGTTGACTTGGATTTATAGTTTATTGATTCATAAGAACCTTGTTCCAAATTGTAATCATTTCTGATACTGTAAACTGCTCGTTTGGCAAAACTTTATGCCAACACATTGGCTACGTTCTCCGTCTCATTACATCTGTTTTAAGTTGTTGGTTATTTGGAAATGAGCTTCATCATGTTTGCCATTTTCCTGTAGTTTGACGTTCCGTATTGGCTCCATTATCCAGGCAGTTATGAAAATGCATTTTGACTGACCATTTACAGGAAATCTGGAAATTCTTCTGAACTACTTCTCATTTAATCTTTTCAAGATTGCCATTAGTGACAAACTTAATTACCTTGACCCCCTACTTTTAAACATAATTTTTGCACCTGGAGAATATGGAATGTACCAATATATCAGATTCTCTGATCTTCTACCACCTATGTTTGCCACTCCTGTCATTGGTTAGTTAGCATTTTTCTTGGAAACATGGGCTGTGTAGAATAAATGCTTGTTTCAGATTCCTTGAAATTTTGTGGATTTTAGTCAGCAGTCAACATCAAGCCTTGTTTCTTTTAAACCCAGTGTAGCCATTAATAGTAGATGGTGCTGGTATCTCACCCATGTGGTCAAAGGCACGTGTTTCCAGAGGCAGGCCATCTTTGTTGCTATAATTTCGGTTATTCAAGATATCCAAGATGTTCTCATTTAGGGAAACCATGGATGGTTGGTTAAGGCATTGCCTTTCTACGCACTTACTTTGTTACCTACCTTTTGTACAGTGTCTTTCTGCCTACTTTCTTAGCTACTAAATAAATGTATTTTTATGAGTATGTCTTTTTTTTTACATTTTCATAATCCCTATGTTTTGCAGATCAGTGGTGAAGCTCAGGAACTCTTTTCTGTCCGCCACGGTCCAGTTCGAGCTGCACGGATTTTACCAGCTCCACAGATCAGTAAGTACATATTTACATGGTTCATAGTTAAGCATAACCTTTTCTTACAGATCTTTGTCCAAATCATTGCTATACACTGATAAGGAGATTTTTCCATTAATTTTAAACTGTCACCTTCACAATAGCTGTATACACGTGTTACTACTTTTTTCCTCCTAGTCTGTAATCAAGCGTGTTCCAGTTTCATCTCCAGATTTTAGCTTTGATGCTGCTTAGTTTAACAGGATTGTTTCAGAAATTCTGAGTTAACCCCCTGGAAGAGCTTGCTGCAAAATTTAAGCAACTATGCATAAACAAGCAAATCCCTTTAAAAAAAGATACTGTTCAATCTAAGCACAAAAATCTAATTGTAAGCTTCTTTGAAGGCCCAAGATCTGTTGGTATCCTGGCTCGTTTTTAGTTTTGGCAAGGTTTTGCTTGTCCACTTTCCCTGTAACTTCAACCAGGGAAGCTCTTCTGTACAGCTTGGAAGCTTCTGTACAGGATGGAAAGAATGTACTTCTAGTATGACCAAGGGTTTTTTTGGTTTATGCTGGATTACAAATGTTAGTAGAACATTATGAATGAATTATTAAGGTCAAACAATATAGCCTAAAATCTAATTGTTTAAATAATTACAAAAATAATAAATAATAATAATACTGAGTATTTCAAAGAAAGTAAACAGAGAAAGTTGAAGGTTTACTGGGCAAATTTTATATTATCTCAGTGATTTCCTGAGCAGAGGAATCTACAAAGTAGGCGTGTGTGTGTTTTTGTTAATTCTGTGATAGGTTAAAGTAACTTCTTCAAAGCAAAACACTCACAAGTGTGTTGTGTCTTTTATTCTGTTTATGGGAACACTGCATAATTCCTGGTGATTTTTTGGTTTTGCTACTATGTGTGTCGTGAAGTAATGGATGTCTATGCCTCTTCCTGTCCCAAAGGAAATAAGAGCAAAAAAAAAAAGTGTAAATGAAAATTAAGTAAATAAGTTAAGAACCTTTAAGTTCTGGTTGGTTCTGATAGTAGGATTGTCCTTTCTGATTCTTTGATCTAGTAAGTTGCACTGCTTACAAACTTCAACAGTCTCTAAATTGCCTATTTTTAGTATCTGACAATGATAGTTGTTACATTAGAAAACTATTCAAATTAGCTCATATTAAATTAAGCCAAACCTTTTAAAAACATGTTTTGGTCTCTTTTTACATGGCTTGGTTTAAATAAATCTTTGATTAAAAGTACATGAATGTATCATTGACCAGTATCTGGAATCAGATAAAAGTAAAGCTGTAATAAGAGGCCTTAGATAACTAACACATGAGCTTTAATGATTCTGAACGAAATAAAAGGAATTTGTAAAGGAGAAGCTGATTACCATCAGTAAGCTCAAACACTATTTTACTGTAAAGCTGTAAAAAGGGAATTATTGAAAATGGGACTCTCTTGGTGGATGGATCTGGCACATTGCTAGAAACAGATCTTAGTTTGTGATAAGCAGCTCATTCCCAGGTGTGAAAGGAACGCTCATGGTTTCAACTTAGTGGCTTTACAGTAGCAGAACTTAATAGTTTGTCAACTATTTTGTTAGTATTATAGGCCTTTGATGTCAGATTCTTTGCTGCTTCGTGGCATAATAAAACATTGTTTCAGGAGAGTTACTTCATACAGGCTTATTTCACGAAGGCTTATTGCAAAAGCAGACCTCCTCAGATCTGATTGAGCAGGTTGTAAGTGGTCCTAGTAGCAGGAACGGGGTGCAGTATCTGGAGCTGGCCTTGCTCGCTGCCAGCTGGGATCCGGTGAGGTTTGTTAGTTCAGGCTCTGTGCCATGCTAGAGCAGTTAAACGGCTCCTGGAGCTGCTCTGACCTGGCAGCTACACTGAATGTTCGTTCAGGGTTTTGTCTGAGCTGACAGACCAGGCAAGGCCTGACCTGGCCCAGCACTGCAGCGCTTTGATGTCTCTGTGTCCATGGCATGGTTGGTCTGCAGCCTGGATGAGATGTCCTTGAAGAAAGGAGTCATTTCTGTAAATAATACTGAAAAATGGCGACACGGGGCCAGAGCATATCTACTGTTTCCTTCAACAGTAGATGTGGCTTTGATTTCCCCTTTTTCCAATTTGCAACATAAATGGCCTTTTTGGAGACTGAAGGTTTACACTGTGACCAAATTTTGGGCTTAAGAGAGGATATAAAGTTCGTAGCTCATGTTCGGAATATGAGAACATCTCTGTCTAGATGCTGTCGGTCTTGGAAATAAGAATATGAAGTCCTGTCACTTTCTGTGCCACATGCTGCATTATCTGCCGAGCCGTCTGGTTGGCATGGCCTTTTAACTCGCCGAGCTCTTCTTCCCTTTCAAATCTCTATGCTGTGATTGAGTTTAGTACTTATGTGTACACAGGTGCCCGGTTTGCTGGGCTCGGGATTTCTGTCTCTTCC